TTTCAACATCTTAAGCAATCAAGTACATTTTCTATATCCCAAGGCACTATGATGAAAACAATTGTATTCACTAGATAAATTACGATTATTCAAAATATGTAATACGGTCTTTGCAAACAGGGGTGTTCCAGTACTACTGGATACCAGACACTGATTATTCAGCTTTATCATAGTAATACTGCTGTAGCAATATCTGTAGCAGGTCAGTCTTACCATACAGAGAAGTTTAATTGTCAGCTCTCATAAGCATAAAACTACTTTTCTATAATTCTCTCTTTCCAAATAGCATTTCTCTACACATGTTCTACAACACTTCCTTTTAGTGGAAGACTAGCACTGACAACAGAACGGTTCTGAAGGTCAACTGTGTCCTTAAAATTTTACCCTGGGGACTAACTCTGATCTATGACCTATTTACTTAAAATTTGCTATTTTTTTCTTTCCACTTAATCTGTCCTAGAGTTGTGTTCTGGTATTTACTTGTTTGTTTGAAAAATGCTTGTAGGTTTATGACCTAAAATGGTCTAAGTAGAAAGTTAAAATTTTAAAGATGGAGACAGAATATGAAAGTTGTATTGCTTAGGTGCAGGAATATTAAATATGTTGTTATTACTGCAAATTTGGAGTGTATACCACCACCCAACTTTGAAGACGTGACCTTGTAGCACTTCTCTGGAAAATACTGTAAGTATACAGATATTGTATAAACAGTTATAAGTAATTATTTTGTCATTATTAAATAATGAACTGCCAAACAATTACTCTTACTATTAGATTAAACTTCATCCTTACAAGAATTGCCACAGCTTGAACACATTAAACCAGAAGTACATAAGTGCTAACTGCTAGGCCTGAGGAAGGGAAATAATTCACAGAATCACATTTTCCAACAACTCTTCTTAAAGATCCTTCTTAAAAGTTGCAGCAATCTCCTTTGTTCACAGCTGAATTTAGCTTACTGCTTCTATTACCAAAGCAGTTATTTACTTTACTGAGCTTCCTGTGAGGTATGACAGGCATATTAATCTCACTTATAATTGACAAACTTGGATAAGTGTACACCATCAAAGTCCCTCTATGCAAGCATATCTAGTATAACAAGAATAGCACAGCTTTGCAGAAACCTGTTAAAGATACAGCCTGGAAAATGGATGAAGCAGAGAAAATGATGGAGAAAAGCAGGTATTCATTATTCCACTACATGATGTCTAAGAGAAAAATTTGGAAAGTTGGTCTTACAGAATGAAGAAATAATGGTTGTGGGATTGGAGTTCAAATGGAAACAGATGACACAGAAAAACATATTACCAGGTCAAAAAATAGATATAAAAATAATAATAATAATAATAAAAAATAAAAGAATACCCTAGTTGCTAGAACGTAATTTACATAATTTGGGGAGTTTTATGAAAATAGTACGCTCACCAGATATTCTTTATGTTAAAACAATCTGCTAAAACTACTGCTTGAATGAATAAATACCACTAACAGGCTGAAGACAAAAATCAGCTAGAGGAAAACCAAATTATCTGAAATCCTGAAATAGACGTCAAAGGTAAAGTAAGATGATAAAAAAATCAACGGATTACTTCCACGTGACGTGAAGAAGGGTTTGATATCTCGGAACGTATTCATGGAAAACATTCTCCTTTTGCCAGAGAGTGGCAAATGAATGTACCATAACGGCTAGCAAACATGGTTTCAAGTATTACATAATGGCACTTGTTCATTCCCTACAGGCAGTTTTAATGCACATAAACAGAACATCCAATAAATGTAGAAAAAGGAATGAATAATATAGGATGTTGAACAGTAAAATGAAGGAAAGGTGTAATATTGATGAAGGCACAAGTCAAGAAATCCAATTATTACTAGCACAAAACATGGACTTGCATATTCAGAGGTAACAGTGAAACTCAGTGAAGAAGCAAGCACAACTGGAGCATGGCTCTCAAAAGATAAGTGAGGTATGCAGCCTTCAGGAAAGCTACAAGACCACACATGGATAATAAGAAATGAAACAGAATCTGTTTGGATTCGGAATGGGATAGACAATGCAAGTCAAAATCAAAGGTGTATTATTAAGACACTACCTAATTTATGAGAATAAACACTATTAATACTGATAAATGCTATCTACTATTTCTACTAGATAGTAGAAAACATTTATTTCTAAGTGACAGAGTCAGTATATCAAAACATTTTTTCCTCAAATAATCAACTACTGGGGAAAATATATATTTTTAATTAGACTATTTAGAAAGAGATGTAAAAAATATCCCGAAGATAAGAAATCATAAGCTGGTTCATTTTACATTAAAAGGGAAAAAACACACCACTAGGCTTTGATTTTTAAATGGCAAATTTAAAAATATAAAAGAATGACTTAAATAAGTCAAATGTACTGAAAAGCAAAATGTAACAAAAGAAATTAAAACTAAATCACAAAAATGTTATATAACTGTACAGATTAAAAGAGAATAAACAGAGAAAGTCTGCATACACCATGCACTGAATGCAAGAACTCAGAACTCAAGTTCAACCATCCAGCCAATTCCTTAATCACTAAGTGATCCACGCATTCAATCCATGTCTCTTCAATTTAGATCAAGGATGCCACAAGAGACAAAATAATTCATCTTTGTATACAAGAAAAATTACAATAGTTCTAAAATGTCTGAATAGTGTAAGAGAAATTAGTATTTTAAAATGGAAATGTGGATCAGCGCAAGAAGGCAGAGTAACTAACTAACTAAATGGGAGATTATAAAGTTGTTCTGAAATGGAAGGTACTCATTTATAGAGATACTAGTAAATTACTCAGGAATCTGTACTGAGAATTATCTGGATTTCATATTTTCATCGATATTCTCCATAGCATAACTTCTATAGAGGATAAGAAAATCCAGAGTTTTACCAAAAAAAAATGGAACATACAACAGCATAAAATGTAAGGAAATGCATTTTAGAAATACAATTAAGACATAATGTTATGAACAGTAAATTTATCGATTAGGAAAAAATAAAGAGAGAGAGAGAGAGAGCAAATCACTAATATGTTGCATCAACTCGACTATAACATGCACCAGGAGAAAGATTTTTAAACAGAGGAAACTTCTGATCGGTGTCCAAGAGTTCAGAGATACAATCTTCTAAATACTACAATAAATTCTGGCAATGCCATTCAAAATGATAATAATAAATAAACAATTAAAATTGAAACTAGAATAGCTCCCAGGAAAGACAAATATTATGATTAGAGAAAATTGAGAGATGTCTTATGTAGAAGGAAAAGACAAGAGATATCTGATATTTCTCTTTTTAATAACAGCAAGACAAAAACTGCTTTATTCCAGAAGAATGACATAATCTCTATAAAGCCTTTAAAGACTGAAAAGCCTGCTGAATTTTCTCCTATTCTTTTCTTAAAACATTATTTGATATGCTTGTCACTTCCAAGTATATTACATCCTAACTCATTCAGAAAGATTCTCTATGGCTTTTGCAGTTAATTTACAGAATTTAGCTATATATAAGTAGTTCCTCCTATATATAAGTATTACTCCTCATGGTGTTTTTCCCTCTTTTAATCACTTACTTCTTGACACCAGAATCTTGAAGGTCTCTCTTCAGTCTTCTCCAATCTTACCTAATAAAAGCAATTTTATTTTCTCGGCATATCTCAGCTACTTAATATTCTAGACCTTCCCTGAATCATTAATGAATATATAAGCCCTATGGAACATCTCTGTGAACCTTTTGTCCTGTTCTGAGCTGACCATTTTATTCCTTCTCTTCTGATTAATGTACAGAAATGAAGATATCTTCAGCGAGTATAACAATAATTTTACCACTTGCTGTGGTCTCTCTTGACTGTAACTGAAGGGCATGCCCACATCTCACCTGAGTGCTCGGTTTGCTCAGTAACACTGCAATAAGCATCTGATTAAAGCCTCTGGAACATCAGAATAAATTAAGGTGTTATGAATGCCACATAAGTGCAGTGAATCCAGCATAAAAACTGCAAGTGATGGAGTCATGTATAAAACTGTCTATGTAACCTATGCCTCATATGGCATTTAGTCAGATTTGAGTGATTTAAACTTTATTTTTCCATCCACAGGTTTTATTTCTGCACTAATATCTAAAAGGATGAAAAAATACCACTGAGACTCTCCATTTGGAAGAGGGCCTAAAACATGCCGATGAATATACCCAGAAGTGTGGAGACCCAGAATCGTGGTCAATGTCCTCAGATAAACACACAGCTGCTTGGCATGTAATCTGTTAGTCAATATCACAACATTGCATCAGGGTTGTAACGTTCGCTTATTACAAGTATATAATACTGCTTCAAAAGACAGAAACGTATCAGCTATTTATGAGGAAATATACCTGCCACTAGACTCCTAACAAGAACTGAAGAGCTATTTGTTTCCCTGCCTGTGCTGCAAACCCCTTTTGCTCCAGATCCTGATTCTGCTTCTCCTCCCTGTGCCCTGTTTGCCAAAGGGCCGTGAGCCAAAAGGTGTTTGTGTCAGGCTTTGGTTAGGTCCTCAGTCTGGATAACCGAATGACCATAGCCAGTATGTGGCAGCATAGACCGGCCAGTTGGTCCAGTCACAGCCTCCAAGAATACAGAATACCAAATGAACATTCTCTAACTGAACAAATAGCACCTTCCTTCTTCAGGTGTGCCTCCAACTGTATAGACGTTTATTAAATGTACGGTATTAAGGATTAAAGTCTAAGCAAATTAAAGCAAAAACAAATAAGAATTAAATACTTTTACAAATCACAATATATACATTTTTTTTCCAATTTTATATTTAATATCACTTACTGAAAACTGTAAACCACATATAAATGCATACTACATACACAGGATATTAAGAAATACTGTAAACAAGTATCTAAAATAATTTGATAACAGATTGATTCTTAAACATATTAAATATTAATAATATTAACAATAACATTAAATATTCCAAAGATTCTCATAGTACTCCATATTTATAGAAAGAAGAATAAAAGAAGACGACATAATAGATAACATAATACAGAGGGTAAAAAAAAGAACACACAGTTAACACTTGTAAAGTATGTAGAACAGCTTTAGGAGTAAGTGATGCTGCCTCTGAAGGGAATATGGCAACGGCAATCAAGAAGTCCATTGATGCACAATTTCCCTTTCACAGTTCTTGTGCAATCCTATGTAATGAGTAGGTATGATCCTTTTCTAGTATTCTACTAGATAGGATAAAAGAGGCAAATTTCACTTGGAGTCTGGATCTTCCTATAAATAGACTGAAACACTTCTTTACTCACCTAATTACTCTGAATTTGGCTTAAAAAATTGAAATAGCTGTTAGATAACATTCATATATATAAAACTAATATGACTACTAATTCCTACTTTTCATTGCAATACATACAGTATTTGAAAAGTATTTCCTACGTTTCCTTTCAAAGTAAACATTATAGTTGATTTAGTTCTGGACTAAGCATTTATACTGAATGATAATTATCAAACCATTTCTCAAATTTCACGAAATACAGACATCTTATTTAAAACTTAAGAAGACATTTAAAATGTTAACTCTTTGCTGCAACAAGCAGTAGTTGTTTCTCTAAAGAGGTTGGTATATTACTAATACAAACAACATTTAGGGGAAGTAAGTTTTTTAACCAAGATATCATCATAGAACAGTTTCTTTTTATTTTCTATAATGTTCCAGACAAAAAAAAATCTAAACAATTACCTGTATTTCAGCAATTGTACACAATTGTGATTCATATTTATTTGTGTGTATTCTTACTGGGAGTTTCATTGGATGTGACATTTAGTGGTTCAATTTCTGAACATTTTTAAGGAAGACATTGTCACTGATCTGATGTTACAGAACTTCCAAGATCACTATTACGCATCTTACATTTGCTGCATCCATTCTCAATTGCACAAATGCAAACTTTTTCCTCCTTTTTTTCTTCATCTTCTGTAGGAAAGGCATTTTCATTTTTTATATTTTCAGAGGCATTATGTTCAATATTATTTAAAGGAGTGTCACATTTCAGAAATATTTCAGATTGACAAGTTTCTACTGGATCCTCTAAAGTGGGAGACAATTTTTCTCCAACAATATAATTTCTGTTTATCTTTAATGTTTGGCACATTATTGGTTTTGTATTGGATGGCTCATTATTTGTGCCTACAGTACGATTACTGGGTATGTGCTTGGATACACTGTTTTGACAACTGCTAATTACCATAAGCTTTGCTTTCACATCCCCTATGCTATCTAACATCTCTAAATTTATCTCATTTTTCAGAGTTGAAGATGACAGTATCCTAATGTTACTAATAAAATCTAGGGCGTTACTAGCATTAAACCTATTAAAAATACTATTGGCAATCTTATTGATTAAGTTGTTCTTCAGGTTCACACAATTATTTTCATTTGTTACTAAACTTTTGCCTGACCATTGCAAATGTTGAATATTTTTGGTCAAACATAGACCTAGCTGGTTCTCAATATCAGATGCTTTTTGGTAAGCATATCCTCTTTGTTCCTCATTAACTGGTGTTACCATCACCATCAGTATTGGACAATGTTGGCCACATATAGCATGAAGCTTATCCAGAGAATCTTCTTCCTGAAGAGCACTTCTGTTAGCATTGCTATCATCAGTTGGCTGAGATTGTATGGGTTCATCATTCAAAGGCTGCTCCAGTGGATGCACCTTGTTATCAGGCAATCTAAATTCTACAGATGCAAAAGCTGGAAAATTGGTATCCACCTCTGTGGCTGAAGGTTTGATCTTTTCTTTGTTTCCTACAGGAAGAGAAGTGGTTTTACCACTGAAGGTAGGTTTGCTTTTTGCACATAAGTCATCTTGTAAAGGGTCTGAATCACTGCTGTGAGGCATATTGAAGTAGTTGCAAAAATTTTTAGAGGGTCTTGCCATGTCTTCAAGCTCAGAAGAAGAGATTTCATTGAGGATTGGGTACTGATTCAGATTGCCAAAATGTGAGTATGGAGCATCATCACCATTAGTATCAAGTACTGTGTCTGTTGATGTTGTATCCAAATTGGCATACATTCCAGTCTGCTCAGGCGGCGATCTTCTTATCAAATGATTTTCTTTGAGAAGCCATTTGCCTTTATCAATCAATACTCCTGCATCTTCTTTAGAATGTGTACAAGAGTGACAATGTTTCTTCAGAAATTCTCCTGAATAGTTATCAGTAGAATTTGTCTCTTCTCCATTAAATGTAGGTTGTTCTGTTGGTGAAGAAATATTTTCTCTTTTCCATACAGTATCATCTTTGTTAATGATTTCTGGAAATTCTTGTGATTGCAGTGAAGAATGTGAAAAATTATCTGCAGAAAGAGGCCTGGGTTCTTGGAAAAAAATAGTGTTTTTTGTTACCATTGCAGAGTGGAATTCTTCAGTATCTTTCTGAAGTACTTTGGACATATAAGGATATCCTTTCTGAAAGTCAGGCTTAAATGAAGCTTCTGTCTTACCATAAAGTCGTTCAATAGTTCTTTGTACGTAGCCAGTATTATAAAGTTTTTCAAGTATTGCTTCGTCCCCACTTTCATTGGTCAAATCACTGGATGCTCTAACGTTATAATCGCTCTCTTCAGTATCTGGTCTGTAATCTGACCAGTCTGAAGTAGCAGGGCTTTTTAAACATTTTTTTAATTGAGAAGGTTCTGAACATGTTCTACTCTCCTGTTCTTCTACTTGCAATTTCTGTTCTCCTTCACTCATATCATATTCTGTAATTTGCTTGGATTCATAACAAAAAGATAATGGAGAGTTTGTAGATAACCTCTCAGAGGTTTCTTCACAAATTTCTGTGTCTTCCTTCCCTTCCTGTACAGAATAATCCTCGTAACTATATTCTACATGGGTATCAGCACCTTGTTTGAGTTGGTTATTTGCTTTTTCGTCATTCAAATTTGGATCAACTATCTCATCTTCCCTGTTATCAGTAGTAATATGAGTAATATCTTCATCACATTCTATCTCAGACATATCCTTATCTGAAACAAAATTTTTATCATTAGAAGTTACACTGTGAACTGTTGAATTAGGTTCTATTGAAGTATCTGACCCTTCGTTAATGAATGATGCATCAGTGTTATCTTGATGTTTTTTATGCAGGCTATAAGCCATTTCTTCATTTGCTTCAGGTAGCTCTATAGCTGATGGAAGGCTATGTTCAGTTGAATTAGTATTGGCATATTGATCATCTAGCTCTGTTCTGGGAGCACTCAATTCTGAAACCTCTGTTGCTCTACAAACCTCTTCCTGTATATCAGGACTGCTTTCTAAACCCCCAGACAATGTTAACACTTCTTCAGTATGCAAACTGTCCTTTGCAATACAAGGCTTATCTGATTTTTCATCTTCATGCAAATGTATAACATTATGAATTTCAGATATAGGCATATTTTCATGGCAACATGTGACATCCTGCTTTCTTTGTTCCTTCCCAGCGTGTAATAAATTATTATCTGTTGATTGTTGGGAGATTGGGATTGTTGGGATTATCTGTTGAAAATGGGAGAAAGCAGCCTTCAGTTCATCAACTTTTTCTAAGACTGTTGCTTGTTTCAAGAATTGCAGTTGCGTTAAGATTTCAGAACAGCTACAGGGAGCTTTTTGAATATCATCTTTGATGGTGCCAATCAAATTCTCTCTCAGACTCAGTATTAGTAGCCATGCTAGGAGGAGGTTGGAGGAAGAACCAAAAACTGGCAGAGAAAGATCTGGAAGATTGCATGTTTTTTCTATACATCCACTGTGTTCTTTCTGGAGACCAAGCAAAGTTGACTGCAACTCATGAAGCAAAATACTAGACATGCAATTATTCTGAACATCTGTTCCAATTTTCTCATTGCCAATTGTACAATCAACTTGAACAGCAACTTCAGATCGTTTTCTCTGACATAGATTGATGTCTTGAATATTACCTTCTGACACCTTTTTATTGACATGTGTTTCATGAAACAAGTGTAGTTTACTAGCATGATGAAGTTCTGACTGTAGTAAATACTTGGCTTCTTCTACTAATGCTGTGTTATCATGAGTCAAAGAGTCAGTTTGCTTTCCACTTGACTGTTTGGCTGATTCTTGTACAGTTCCCAATTCAAAAAGAGGCTTTAGTTCTTTCTTAGATAGATTATGTTCAAACAGGTGTTTCTTTCCAATCATATGTACTTCATTGGTAATATATCTATCTTCTTGATCTATAAAAGCACCAATCTTTTCTTTAGAAAAATGACAGTCGTCACCATTGTTTACATTCCCATCTTTTTTGTTTATGGGTGGCAAGACAGCATTTGGTGACAGGTTTTTCAGCCAACTTTGGACATAGTTTCCAAGTGAATGCTCAACAACATCCTCTTTAAAATACTCCTGTTTCAGAGCCTCTAGTGTGATAGCACTGTCTGACATACTTAATTTATTTTTATTTTTACTTAGATTTTTCTTCTTCTTTTGTTTTTTCTCTTTCTTTGATGCTAAATTTTCTAAAACATTCTCCTTTTCTTTTTCTACATTATGATCCATAGGCACTTCTGACAACACATTTGATATTGTTACTGAGTTAGGTGTCTGTTCAAAGAAATTAGTTGTGAGATGTTTGCCTTCTTTTGCAGGACTCAATTCATCCTGGCTGTTTTCAGTTTCAGTTCTTGAATCAACTGACATTACGCCATCTTCACTTTTTGCAGATAAAAGGGAACTACTTTTTTTGCCTGACTTCAATTTTACCTCAGTCAATTGTCTATTAGCTCTTAGTTTCTTGTTAGATGATGATATTCCATTTTGTTCCACTGAATCAGGGTGATATATCTCATCTTCAGGATGTTTGCTTTTGTCTGAATTGGCAAATCCTTCATTGTTTTTTACAAGTAATCTATTTCTATTTTTCTGAAGCATGTCAGAACAACTATCTGTAGTTGTTGTTTTGCTTGTGATAAGCATTCCCTCACTTCTGATTATCCCTGAAAATTCTGTATCTTTTTGATTTTCATATATCTTCTGCTCTAGAAAATTGGACAAGGATTTTCTGTTCTTCTTCTTCTTGTTGGTGAGAGAAGATGCAGATTGGCTTTCCCCAGTCAGATGTGATGCCATCACAGATTCAGACCAGACATTGATTTGATTCTCAGTTTCATTAACAGTAGAAAAGAATCCAGTTGTTGGATTTATTTTCTCAGTAGGTGCTTTACTACATGGAGGTGCCACCATCTCCATCTGATTATGATGACAGGCTGAATGCAAAGAATCTTGAGAAAAAGTTAATAAATCAGAAGTCTTGCATTTTATTTTTTCATTTTCTGACTGAGAAAATTCTGAATATTTAATGTAAGAGCTGAGAGATCTTCTTATTTGTTTTATATCACATAACTCATGAATACGGTCTGCTGAAACTGGCCTGGCTGCCTTGCATATTTTTGATGATGGCATAAAATCACTAATGTTGGCTTTACAGGTTGATACTAAACTACTATATGTACCTTGTTCCATAACTGATTTCTCTAATACATTCTGTACCAGTTCAGGCTCATCTGATACATCTAATATCTCCTTATCTGTGGTCCTGATTAAATCATGACTTTTGTGCCTTACATTGAAAAGCATTTCTTCTTTTTTATTCTCTGAAGAAAGTTTTAATAAGTCATTGTCACTCATCTCACTAATCTTTGGATTACTGACACTTGATTTTTTTGTGCTTGATTGTGCTACCATACAATACTCAGATGTATTTTCTCCATTCTGTACTTCCTCACTGTAGGAAAACTGTCCCACTGTTTTCTCCTGAACCTCTTTCTCAGAAACTACGGTGACACTTTCAACTACTGCTTTCTTTTTTCTAACACGTCTTGGCCCAGGGGTGGGAGGCCTATAAAAATGAGGTCTGATATTTTCCTCAGGAACATTGCTTACATCTAGATCAGCAGAATTGTTCCTCTGACAGATATTATAAACATCCATTTTTAAATCAGACTCTGATTCTTTATCTGAGACTTCTGTGTGCAGTTGCTTTAATGACTCTTGTTCCTCACCGTAGCTGTCCAAAAATGGAGCATCCTTTTGTTTTATACATTCTGATACATTTACACTGGATAAGCAGTCTTCTGCACTCATCGCAGAATTGTAAATGGTGGCATTTTTTTCATCAGGAAAGCCAGCACGACTTACAGTGGTTGTCCATTTAATAGTTTCTTCCTCCTTAATTTTGAATCGAACTTTCATTTCCACTGTCATACTGCCATCTTGATTAAGGTGAACAGACTTCTCAATGTCATCTTCAAACTGTGCCACAGATGAGTCTTCCCCATTAACTATCTGATTTCCTCCTATGCTTTTATGATTGTCAGGAAGATAGGAAGAATCTGAGTTGTTATCATTTAAATTGTTATCATTGCTGGACCCTTTACCAGAAGAAACGGAGAATATTTGAGATCTTGAGCTAGACATCACTTCAGCTCTCGCTACCAACAATTACATTTAAAGAACCCAAGTTCATTCAGTAGATGGAGAGTAGAGTAGACAGATATGATGGATAAGGATCCAGATGGTCAGACAGTAGACAGGCAGCAAAGGAAAAAACAAAGAGAGAAGAAGAAATGAGAAAAATTAGTACAAAGGAATTTAATAAAGTTTATTTCCTAGAGTATTAGAAAGAGAAAAAGCATTAAAATGTTTGCTATTGACTTCCAGAAATTCTTAGAGAGCAAAATGCAACAAATTTTTAATAAAATATTGAGGTTTTAACTACTTTTTCTCCTCCATTTTTTTTTAATAGACACTGAAATGCCAGAGCTATATTTCTACTTCAAGCTCCAAAGCCTGAAAATATAATACATGTTCTCATTGTGTACTCATCTGGGAGATGAGGTTACCTTGAACTTTTCAAGAGTTTCATAGGCCTGCATTTGTTGGAGCTTTAAGCTAACTTTATATTTTCATTATATTTTCCACTATATTTTTTCCTTAACAATCACTTGCATATCATCTCCTGTTAGTCCTAACAGTGAGTGCTAAAATGTGTCAGTCAATGTGTAAATACATCTCTTAATTAAATAATCTGCAAGATATGAGTCATTACTATGAGCAGTGTTATTGACATCGGTGACTAAATGGTTCAGATTCAGTCCCCAAGACTGACCTTCTGTGGAGAAGTAATCTCCATTTTTGGTGTCTATAATTTCAGGAGAAATGTGTTGTGAGTTTCTCATTCATATACTTTCCCATGAATCAGAAATAAAATTTTTTACTAATTCCTCTAACAAGGACCAAACCCAGTGTTTTCCAAAGTAAAATCTCAACCTCTATTTTCAAAAAATTTAATTCAGACATTATCATTAATGTGATAATCACTGCATGGAATATGAGGTTTTTTGTTGTTTTTTGTCTCAGTTGAAGAATCTCTGACTATTTTTTCTCTCTTATTCCTGTTAACTAAGGATTAGACAAAGTTTATCATATTCTCAACTATTCACTTTTTTTTTTTTTAAACATCATTTCAAGCCTGGATTTCTGACTCAAAGCAGAATTTCAATAGGAATTTTGAACTCCAGAATTTTCATTCACAAAATTTTCCAATTCATTTTCCTTTGACTCATTACTGATGCCTTGCAAACAGCTTTCAAGCTATGAAAGTCAAGAACACAAAGGCTGCGAAGACTGAAAAAAACTGAAATGAATAGTTTGGTAGATACATTACAAACTGTGAGGGATAGGGAATAAATTTCTTCAAGTAAATGGAAGCTCAGTGTCTTATACAGCAGGATGCTCCATTACACAGTGAAGTTGCCATGGAAAAAATCTCAGTATAGAAACAATTACAGCGTACCCTGAGCTTTACAATACAGCATACAACTATATCATGAGAGCGAAGTACCTCTGGATTAAACAACTTCTGAGACAGCACTTCTGCCTACAGCATACTCTAAGGCTAAGGATTCATGCATGTCCTAAAGTCCTACTGTTGCATCATTTTGTTCCCCATAGCCTGAGGCTTTCCAGCTGGCCTGGCTTCTCTTCATATTCTTAATCTAGCAATCTCACATTCACTGAAATTTCTCAGTGGCAAAATTTCTTGAGTAGTCAAAAGAAAAGCATATATCACGAGTATGAGGATATAGAAAAGAGTGACAATCTCTGTAGGCTTCACAAAAAGAGTTTGAGTTTGTAAGTGGATGAGTGTTATAATGAATTTCATGTTTATGCTGACTATGTGACATAGGAAAATGTGAAAGTCAAGATAATTAGCCAAATTCCCATTTGCTAAATTTTGAAAACTGCACAAAAGCTTTTCTCAATCAATTTAGCTAGTTAAGGATTCTGAAGTAACCTTTGGGGTCTCTTTTACCTCTGCTATTATTAAATGTAATACCCCTCCCCCCAGAAAAGAAAATTAAGTGCATTAACATAACAATAACAATCAAGTTCATTGAAATATAATATACAACTTGATTTGAATCCTTGTTCTAAATCAGCCAGTTTGAGAGAAAATAGGCATACTGAGTTCTTAGCAGAAACTTATATTTTAAAAGGAAAATTAACTTTAAAAAAAACTTAATTTTATCTTTCTAATTCCTACAGATGATTTAGAACAAAAATAAACAGTTTCACTTGGTCTTTCTGAATATCCTTGATCCCAGTAAGATTGTCATGGTTTATATCTTATGCCGCGAGAGATGAACCAATTAGTAAAATATAAATTAATTCAAAGAACTTACTGTTTTCACTTTCTGACTTCAAATTTGCTTTGGGGTACACACGATTTGCAATTCCAAGTAATCTGGCAGGCCGTGAATACCCAAGAGATTCATAATTACTTGGTTTAAAAGGCTCTCTCCCTGCTGCAACTACAGCTCCAGAGCACAATATCAGGGCCTGAAGATTAGGAACCTGCAAAAAAAAAAAAAAAGGAAAAAAAAAAACAAAAAAACCACCACCATAACATTAATTTCTCCATCTCAGCAACCACAAAAAATAATGTAAGAGATTTATCTTTTTCATGCTTTAATATCTTCACTTCTTAGTCTCTACATTATTTTACAGCTGGCTATTAAATATGTAACACAGAGCAGAATTAATTTTTCAATTCCTATATGGAAATTTCTCTCTCTGAGGGTATGTCTTGTTATATAAGTATACTAGAAAAAGAGTTTAAGAAGACTTGGATACAGATAAAAATTTCCTTATAATATACAGCCATGGAAAAAGAATGTGCACTTGTAGGTAGGTATACATATGAACACAGAGGAAGAAATGGAAAATTCAGACTACATCACAAACTACACAGACTACATACTTCATATGTACCACCACAGAGGAACGGGACAGAATCCTAGAACAATTTCTGTTGGAAAAGACCTCTGGATATCATCTAGTGTAACTCGCAGCTCAAACAAGGTCTAACTTCAGATCAAGTTGTTCAGGGGCCGTCTAAAATCTTTGAATTTATATTCCAAGATATACTGCAAAATGAGGCTTGTAAACTGCACTTTTCAGACATATGGAGAGTTTCCCAAGCTAATGTAGAATTTAATCGAAGATTTGCCCTCAATAGACACTCCGCATGTAATTCCCTTCCCAGATTCAGGTCTTCAGGTACAACCACAAGTCCCCTCTGTTGTTAAATACTGAAATGAAGTTGTATAGAACAATGTGTGAAATGAAAACCAGAATTATTATTGCTGCAACTTCTTGGCTTAAGGTACAAAACTTGGTCTGTTGTTCAGGAACTGAAGAAAATAAGATCTCCTAATTTCAAGTAATTAACTAACAAATCACTCCCCATTTGTGTAATAATAAAATATCTATGTCTACCAGATACTACCTATAGTATTTATAAAACATTTAAAAACAGAAAAATTGCATAAATACTAAGGGAAGTACCTGTGTAATTAGGCAATATATATATATTTCTATATATAACTGAGATTATAACTGGAAGAGGCTTAAGAAAGAAAACGAAAAGTTACTTTTCTTGATGACTTGAAATACAATGTTCCTGCTTGCTTCTCTCCGATTACAAGATTTGTATGCAATTATTTCCTCCAAGCTAGTTAGCCTTACAGAGGGAAGACAGCTGAAATTCAGCACATTAAACTACACCATGTCAGGGTCCCAAGTGATATAATCATCAGTTTTCTAAAAAATATTCTAGAAGCAAACATAAAGCAATCATCAGTGCTCATTTTCATTCTCACCTTTCTGCCATCAGTGGTATAAAGTTTTGCAACTGGATACTGCATTAATTCACTCATGTAATCCAGAAAGGCCTCAAAGGTTTGTGTATTTTTCTTTCCCAGAACTATGGTGCGTCTGAGTCTTACATCTCCATTTTTGAAAACAAGCATCTTTTTGGGAGTTGTTATTTTGCTTTCTTGATGGCCAAATCCATCTTCATTCTCCTTTGCTAATTGCACAGCTCGACGACGAGCACTGACAGGCCTACTGATCTGCCAGGGCAGTGGCTTTCTGCTAGCCCGTTCTAGGTTGATAGGCTTCATTTTCCTCTGATGGGAGCAAATATAAGATTTTCCATCTTCAAGATCCTCCAGACTGGTGATGCTGTGTCTCCCTTTTGGCGTACTGATATTCCTTACTCCAAAAGGTAACGGGACCCGTTTAGATAAGCTATCCAGCAAGGCATCAAATGTTTTGTAAGACCGGTTGTTAATGACCATTTTGATTCCATTAAACTGAGGATCTCCACTTTTATAAAAACAGATCCTTTTGGCCACTACAGGTTCAGTAACATTGAAATGGCGTGTAGATAAACTCTGTTCACTCTCAGAGGAGTTTGGCTGATTCACGGAGTAACTGCTTGAAAGAGATTCACTCATTTTGGCAGCACTCTGGGGGGAAAAAAAAAAAAAGAAAAGAGAAAAAAAAAAAGAGAGAGAGATGAATGTGAAAGTTTTCTTACAATTAGCAATAACACAGTCTTAATTTTAGAAAAAAAATAATCCAGAGAATTTATAAGAAAGGAACAGCAGCTAGTTATGCCAAAAATCATTGGATTTAAATGGAGCCAAGCTGTTATCTCTAAATTCCACAAAGACTCCAGTACTGTCAGATTAAGTTAGCATATCTCCACTTGTAAGCATTCCCAAGCACTCTCCTATGTAATTTCAAATCTCTTATTTTGGTACAAGAGACCTTTCCTTAGAAGAAGGCACTTTGTCAGTCTGGAATGATAAGTAGATGTTTTCTTTCTTGAGAAAGAAGCTAATGACAGCATTTCAGATTTAATATATTAGTAAAATCTTTATGAAAAGAGAGCAATTTGTGCCTTGGCTCAGTCCATATTCAGTACAAAATAACAAAACTGAAACAGTACAATTTATTCTGATCTCATATGTTAGTTTTACACCAAGGCAAATCCATTGGATTCAGAGAAATGATTTCTGGTTTACTACATTGTAAATTATATGCTTTTGGCCTAATTCTCATGTTTTAAAGTTTTGCTATGTCATAAATCAACAAATCACTTGCTTTTCTATAGTATCTTATATTTCATAATAAATCACTTTGATATTTTAAACTAATT